TGCAACCCATCATAAAAAATTCAAACAGCATAAAAATATATTAAAAAGGTAAAACTTATTGTGTGTATGGATGTGTGCATATCAGTGTGGGAATATCCTATACTCATGCTCATAAGGGCAACCCCAACTGGACTCGAATGTGTGTGTGTGTATCTTTATAGCCACCTAATTTTTCTTATGTTTATTACATACTTTAATCCATTTTAACTTGTTCTTGAATATGGCATGACTTTGGCAATGCTTTTATTTTCTTCCAAATGACTAACAAGTTGTACATCACATTTTGAATTATACAACCTTTTCTCACTGAACTAAAATGCTACCTTTGTTAACACTGTTAAATCCACAAATCTAGGCTGGGCGTTGGTGGCACACACCTTTAATTCCAGCACTCAGGAGGCAGAGGCAGGCAGATCTCTGTGAGTTCGAGGCCAGCCTGATCTCCAGAGCAAGTGCCAGGATAGGCTCCAAAGCTACACAGAGAAACTCTGTCTCGAAAAAAAAAAAATCCACAAATCTAGTGGGGACTAATTCTGAGCATCTATTCTGTTGCACTTGACTGGTTTTCTTTTTAAGCTCTGAGGGACTGAACCCAGGATCTTGTGTGTGGTAGAGAAGCACTCAGCCTCTAAGCTACTACAGCCGTAACCCTTGACCACTGTTTATTCTTATGCCCCAAAACTTCTGTTTTTGTAACCAGGTAGAAAGTAGGAATGACAACCAAGGTTGACCTGTGACCTCCACATGTGTGGCAAGCACCCCCCCCAAACACACACATATACAATACACATACAAGACAGAAATCAGTGGCAGCCAGACAGGCTGTGCATACCTACAGTTCCAACACATAGGAGGCTGAGGCAGAAGAATTGCAAGCTTCAGGCTAGCCTGAGCTACACAGCAAGACTGTCTCAAAAATAAAAATCACAAGGAGTTTAAATAGAATCTACTACTGTTGTCTTACTCAATGGACATGGCATCAAATTGTCTTCTAAACACATGTCATTAAAGCCACAGATAAGTGTAGCTCTCTGCTCTCATCAGAAAAGATCCCCCCACCATCTGGCCCCCAGGACTCAGTAGCTATCACAGACTCACAACTTAGTCGAAGTGCAGAGAACAAGTGATCGTGGGGCACTCAGCCCCATGTGGGGCATCTATATCATCCTGTCTACAAGGCTAAGGAAACACTGTGCACAAGGAGGCGGAAGGAGTCTGAGCCAGAGAGCACGGTGGTTGGGGGGGTGGCTATGAAATAGTGTCCTCTGGACACTATGACAGACAGACATGACAGACAGACTCCTGGTACTCAGGCGCTTTCTGCATGAGACCAGGGTAAGGTTTAGCCAGTCAGCATTCCAGGGTCAATGGGAGAGAGCTGAGAGCTACCGGCAGCTGGGAGAGGGAGAGTCAGTTTTGTCCTCAGAGGTGCGGCTGGTGGATGGCCCCACATCCACGGACATAAGGCAACTCCAACTGGACTCCACAGGTTATAAAAAAGTAGACGAGTATGAGGAGGAAGATATTGGGGAGGTGAGAAGGTGAAGGGGGTGAAGGTGGATATGATCAAAATACTATATACAGGTACAGAATTCCCCCAAGAATATACAAATAAATAAAATAAATTTAAAGACTGCCATAAATATTTTAATTAATTTAGGAGGAATTAAACACTTGATGACATTCTTTCCCTTTCTTCCTTCGTTTTATTCAGTTTTGTTTTTTGTTGCTTTTGTATTGCTTTGGAGGCTGTCCTGGAACTCGCTCTGGAGACCAGGCTGGCCTCTAACTCACAGAGATCCTCCTGCCTCTGCTTCCCGAGTGCTTGGATTAAAGGCATGAGCCACCAACACCCGGCCATTTTATTCAGCTTTGAGCTGTCTGTCTGTTCTAGATTTTTCCACTTTGTTGCTGAATTTGCTGTATCACCGGCTGAAATTGCCGTCTCCATTCTAACTGAAAAACATGGGCTGATAAGCAGATGGTCCACAGGAGACCCCAGACCAAAGCCACCTGGGTCCCACCAGCTCATGGCAGTGTCACATAAAGCAACAGAGGAACCCCAAAGTTCTTAAAGCATCAAGAACGTATTCTCTCTCCCTCCCTCCCTCCCTCCCTCCCTCCTTCCCTCCCTCTCTCCCTCCTCTCTTCCTTCTGTTTTCTACCCCCTCCCCTTTCTCCAGTACCTGAGAAGTAAGCATAGAAGAGCAGCATTGCCTCCCAAATATTCTCTGGAGCTACTGACCATCTACGCCTGGGAAATGGGTACAGAGAGCAGCGAAAACTTCAATTTGGATGAAGGGTTTGTAGCCGTGATGAATCTCCTCAGAGACTACCAAGACATCTGCGTATACTGGACTAAGTACTACGATTTCCAAAATGAAGTCGTTGGAAACTTTCTCAAACAACAGCTGAAGAGACACCGGTGAGTATGTCAACCAAATTACTCATGACTTTTAGGAATAGAAACCCTGACTGAAGAGGCTTGGAAAAATAAGAGACGCAAGTGGCTTTTGCAACTGAAAACGTTCAAAGGAAAACTTCAAGTATGACTATGTCACCAAGGTCTCTTTCTGTGAGTCGGTCAACCCCGCCCTTCCCAGGGCTTTACTGTCAAGTTCCAGTTTATCCCTTCAAGGTTGCAGTGGTTCTAGCCTTCTTTCCAGTACAAGAAAGGGTATGTCAAGCAAGATCTCAGAGGTCCAGTCTCACTAGCTTCCTTAGGTTCCAGTCCTAATCAAGGGCCTGACTTGCAGGCATTGCTTCTACCCAAAGGTGCATACAATCCCTGCTCCGGACATTGTGAAGAATGCTCTCTGTTGGCCATAGTTTCAGTTTCAAATGAGTGAGTTAAGAAGTATATAGTCGGGCGGTGGTGGCACACACCTTTAATCCCAAAACTCAGGAGGCAGAGGCAGGTGGATTGCTGGGAGTTCAAAGCCAGCCTGGTCTACAGAGAGAGAGAGAGAGAGAGTTCCAGGACAGGCTCCAATGCTACAGAGAAACCCTGTCTTGAGAAACAAAAACAAAAAGAAGTTTATAGAGATCAGAAGTAAAAGAAAAAATAGCAAGTAGGGGAGTAGCCGATGGCAGGATATCATCAAACCGGGTGCTCACAAATCCAGTAGAGACAACTGGAGTAGCCCAAGTGGGAGAGCAAAGGCAACAGCATCAAACCGCTTAGGACACCCTGCAGATGTCAACCAGTGGAGGGGGTCATCGGGAGTTCCCCATGGATGAGCTTCCCATGTGTGAGCCATGGCTGGACTTGCAGCTTTTTGTTCCCACTGTAACATGGGATAAACAACAGTGGCCTCTGGATGGAAATGGTTCCCCTTCCAGCTGTCTCAAGGTCCATTTCCCCCATTACAGAGCGGCAGGGGGAAGGGACAGCAGGACCCAAGACAGAGAGTCTTGGAAGAACACTTTGAGTTACACGTTTGGGGTTGTGGCTCCAGAGCCAGCTTTCAGTGAGCTTAGACGTCACAAGGCAATTTACCAATATAGCGCGCCTTATGATTCCACAGACGTTGAGTGCCAGAGGCCAGCTTCCTGAGCTTAGCCCGGATCTGCTTCTATTCTGCCCCCAGGCCCATCATCCTAGACCCAGCTGATCCCACCAACAACTTAGGAAGTAGAAATGGATGGGACCTGGTGGCCAGAGAAGCTTTCTACTGCCTGCTGCAGACCTGCTGCTGGACTGGAATCCTCAGCGGCAGCTGGGATGTACTGGTACAGTGCAGTCTCATACTCAGACCTCACAGTAGCTCTTCCCTCAGTACCCATAAGCCCCAGGACAGGCAACACAGTTAGGTATTGTAGCCTCATTCTCACCCGTAGACATTCTTGGCATTCCCCAGGGTTCCATAAATACAACACTGCAGTGTGCCCACAATGGGTGAAGATCCTGCCTAGTTCCACACAGAAAGAGTATCATTTAGACACCAGCTGTTGCTCTGGCTTGAGTAAGTCGAGGAACACAGTGTGACTTGGTGGTGCTCTAAGCCTAGGGTGGCCAATCAGCTTTCCTGTCGCCTTAAGCATTCACTCAGCATCTCCCAGTTTGTCTGGGTACATGGTAAATTCCACCAGGATCTAGAAGGGAGAGACTCTGTAGACAGTAGACGGTTCTTGTCACACAGATGCCCTTTCCCTCTCTTACCTCTCTTGCAGCCAGCAAGAGAAATTCAGGTGACAGTGAAACAAACAGAAAAAGAAACCTGGAGGCTCTGGGTAGACCCCTATAGCCCCATCAGGAAGATGAAGGCAGAGATCAAAAGGAAAAATGGCACCTCCGGGGAGCTACGCATCTCCTTCCAGGATCCACAGGGGGAGAGGCAACTTCTCAGCAGCCAGAAGACCCTATCGGATTATGGGATATTCTCTAAGGTGACCATCCGGGTGCTGGAGACCTTTCCCCCTGAGATCCAGGTCTTTGTGAAGGAATCCAGTGGCCAGAGCAAGCCTTATGCCATCGACCCTGGCGCTACCATCTATGAACTGAAGGGGAAGGTTGAAGATGCTGGAGGGCCTTGCACAGAGAATCAGGTGCTGATGTTGGGGAGTAAGAAGCTGAAAGATCGTTGCAGCCTTGCAGAGCTACAGATAAAAGACTGTGACACCATCCAGCTCAGGGTGATCTAGCCCTAGTCTGCCTACTGCATGGTGTCAATACTTAATGCCTCCCTGCCCCATCCCTTTACCCAGACGCTGTGTTCATTCTGTACCCTAAATATCAACATTTTCCCACATATACAGAATGAAGTTCAAGTTTTTTCGCTGAATAGCCAGTCTTTAATACAATCAAGCTGAGCCCTACTTTCTTCTCCGTCCCCACTCAAAACTCACCAGTCTCCCAAATACTCAAAACTCGCCCCGAATGCCAAGTCATGTCCCCATCACTTTGAGTCAGCGATCCTTTCCCCTTGACCGATGTTTTCATATTTCAAGACTCAGACTTGTAAGTCACTGAATCTCAAAGTGCAGACCTCAGACTGACAGACTCACCGTTACTCCAGGAACCTCTTAGAAAAGAAAAATTGAGCCGAGGCAGACATTCCCCTGAGGTAACAGTCAGTGCCATGACAAGCCCTCCAAGTTGTTCTGATGCATGCTCGAGTTTGAAATCGACTGCTATACAGCCCACGCAGCCGGCCAGGTCATCTTAAGCTCACATTCTCTCTCTTCGTCCACAGTAGCCCTCTGTGAGAGGAAGAGGGGTGTTAATCGTGTTGTTTTGTTAGATCTATCTCTCTAGAACAGTGAGACTTGATTTTTCTTTGAATGCCTTATGCCTTGGCCTTTGCAGTCTAGAATGGAACCAATCCAGTGTAAATGTTTGACACATGCCTGCTGAATAAGTAAACAAACCAAAGAATGGTGTTGAATCCTTCAATATTGTCTCCGTCATGTCTGATGCCATTTTAGAGTCCACACAGTTTGAGGTGCCCCTAGCCCACATGTCATTCTCTAAAGAGGTTCCCAAGTGACCTTTATAAACCCCATACTGGTGGGTAGACATGGTCTCCCTCTGTCTAAACCCACCTGGACCAAAGGTGACAAGGGTAGGCTCCACCCACTGGCTATCCTTAGCCAGGCATATATTTCAATCTTGGAAAGTAGGGCCTGGTACAGTAAACTTCTGGTACAGTCAGGATTGAAAGAGGCTGAACAGTCAAGAACAGATCCACCCTTGCTTAAATACAGGCAGAGAACCATTCTCCCACAGAACAGAGCCACACACAGCAAGAGCCAGAGCCAGAGCCTGCATTCACACCCAGGGGGAGGCTACACGAGTTGTTTGTCCCTCCTGTTACCCAAGTTCTCCTTGTACCTTTTCATCATCCTCATGTCACTGAATAAATCCAAGTGGGGCATCTTTTGTTTCAGCAGCTCAGTTCAGGTCACTCATCTGTCCCTCAACACACACAGAATAACCATGCACCTGTATGGCCTTTATACCAAGAGTCTCCATAGAAAACGCCATTCAACTGTCTTCACAGCTGCCTTAGAGTGGGATGGACCTGTAGGAATAACAACCCTTCTACATTTTACGGATGGGAGAAACAAACAAAAAAGCTTAAAATATAGGAAACCAGTCAGGAGGTGGTGACACACTCCTTTAATCCCAGCACTCTGGAGGCAGAGGCAAGCAGATCTCTGAGTTTGAGGCCAGCGTGGTCTACAGAGTCAGTTGCAGGACAGCCAGGGCTACACAGAGAAACCCTGTGTCAAAAAACAAACAAGTCACTGAAAAAGGATGGATGGGTGTTCCATTGAGAGTGAGGGCAAGAAGGCTAAAAACAGATCACTTCTCTCATGTCTCTATCTGGGCTACCAGAAGGTACTACTCACATTTTGGGTGGGTTTTCCCTATTCAAATGATTTGATCAATAATAATAACAGTCCCTCACAAGAGTGCCCAGTGACTTGCCTTTTCGTAGATTCTAGATCCAGTCAGGTTGACAGCTAAACTCATCCACCTCAGACTCCATCAGAGTACAAGTGACTATCAAATAGTTTGATCTAAACTAACTCGAGGCCAGGTGACGGCTCACACCTGTCACCCCAGGACTCAGGAGTCTGAGACAGGAAGATTACTTTTAGTTGGAGCCTACAGCGGGCCCCTGCACAGTTTGGAAAGCCCTATTCCTGTCTGTCTCTCTTTCCACACCCCTCCAGCTCAGAGAATCTCGGAACAGAGGAAAGGAGCCAATAGCCAAGCTTGGCATTCTTGTCAGCTGCTGCAACTTCCTCCCCTATGGCCTTAGTCACCCAAGTCCCCACCTAAGTGCTCAGCTTTTGACCATACTTGGGCACAAACCCAGCTTTGGTGGACACTTCAACACCTCTTGCCTACAACCTATAAAACTTTCCTGCCTTGGCCTGGGTGCTTGACTTCTTTGACCTCCATCTCTGGGACTGGAGAACCCTCCTAGGAGGTGATTTTTCAGTTAGGCTCGAGCTGGCTTACTGTGTTAGCAGAGAAACTTGTTATGGTGGTGGAGGTGCAGAAAACCTAATAATTACCATGACTTTCAAGAGCAGTCTGGGCTATATAGTGAGTTCCAGGCCAGCCTGGGCTAGAGAGCAAGACTCTGTCTTTAAAAAAAAAAAAAAAAAGTGGCTGGGCGCATGCCTTTAATCCCAGCACTCAGGAGGCAGAGGCAGGCAGATCTCTCTGAGTTCAAGGCCAGCCTGGTCTCCAGAGAGAGTGCCAGGATAGGCTCCAAAGCTACACAGAGAAACCCTGTCTCAAAAAAAAAAAAAGTGCTCAGGTGTAGTGATGCACACCTTTAATCCCAGCATGTGGGAGGCAGAGGCAGGTGGATCTCTTGAGTTTGAAGCCAACCTGGTCTACAGAGTAAGTACAGGGCAGCCAGGGCTACACAGAGAAACGGCATGTGTGTGGGGGGGGGGGATTAATTAATCCTAAGTATAACTCAGTGATGTTAGGATTCTCCTGAGAAACAGGACTAATGAAAAGGAGATAGAGGTGTGTGTGGGGGTGTATGGTGTGTGTCAGAGAGAGAGAGAGAGAGAGAGAGAGAGAGAGAGAGAGAGAGAGAGAAAGAGAGAGAGAGAATGTTTGCTATCTGGGCTTCTTATGGTTCAGATAAAATGACTCTTAAAATCAACTGCCATGTGGATAGCATAGTCCAAATGACGCCCAAGTATCTTCTGGTTATTTATGCTGCATATTGAACCACCCTGAACCATGCATTTATTTGCTCATGATTGAATTTTCTGAAAAGTTCGTGTGCTCTGCTCAAGCTTACATGAAGCTTGAGGTTCAGAAAGGCCCCAACCACAAGTCTGGCAATTGGCCCAATAACAGCTGTAAAAGTAAGGGTGATGACACCAGTGTGGAAGAGAGAGGAGAGCCAGGGCTGGGCCACATGAGCCTTGCTAACAGACAATTGCTAGCTTCTGTGATCTGAAACCTAGGGGTAGGGATGGGGGAATAGAGACCCAAGGACCCCAGAACCCCAACATTCCCTCCACAGCTTCTTTGCATCTTCCTCATGTGCCTAAGCCTTCCCGACATATGTCTGACTCCTCCCTGGGAGGTGCCTGGCAAAGGCCTTTGCTCTACCGGAGCCCATACTTTCTGGAGTTGGGGTGTAGAAAACCCTCTCTGCAAGATGGCCCAGGTTACCATCCCCTTCAATAACAAAATCTGGGTGTTTTCACTGTGGCTTTCTCATTATCTAGTATGATGACCTGAGCTTGTTCACAGGGTCCTGAGTTCTGAAATCCCAAGAGAAAGGGAAGGACTGAAGTCGCTTGGCATTTTTTAAAGCCTCAGCCTACATCACATGTGCTAATGGTCAAAGCAAGATGTGTGGCCCTGCCCTGATCCCAGGGATGAGAAAAATGCCTCCTCTTCTAGAAAGATCTGCAAAGCCAGCACTTCAAGGGCTGTTCCGACTGTGGGGGATGAATTTGGGAGCACTTTTATTTGGGAGGGAGAGGGGGGGACAGGCCAGCATAATGCCTGAATTCTAACAGGGTTGATTTAGAAAGAAAAGAGGATTAATTTGGTCCATGGTTCTGGTCCTAAGTTAAAGGAATGTATCCAACGATGGCACTTTCTACCCAGCTTCTAGAGAGTCACCATTGGGTTGACTTGGAGGAGGTTCCATATGTAAAAGGACAGAGAACTTGCTCGCTCTACGAGTATTGAAGACAGAATGTTAATTCCGCAGCAGACACAGGAGCAGCAGGGCCTGTAGCCCCAGTCCTGATGGCCAAAGTCAGATGGATCCCAGGAGCTTGATGGTCAGTGTAGTCTAAACAACAGAGCCACCAGTTCAATAAGAGGCCATGTCTCAAGGCGGAGAGTAATAGAAGACACCTGACATGGCTCCCTGGCCTCTGTGTGTGCACACCCACAGGCTAGAAAGTGTGTGCCACACACACACACACATACCCCCACAACACACACTGTCATGGCTAATCTTGATTGTCAACTTGATTGTATCTGGGATCAACTAAGATCCAAGCAACTGGACATCCCTGTGAAGGACTTTCTTCTTTTTTTCTCAAGACAAAGTTTCTCTGTGTATCCCTGTCTTTCCTGGAACTTTCTCTGTAGACCAGACTGGCCTCACACTCACAGAGATCCACCTGCCTCTGCCTCCCAAGTACTGGGATTAAAGGCGTGTGCTACCACTACCAGGATTTTTCTTGATTAGACCATTTGAAATAGAAAGACCTACCCTAAGTCTGGGTGACACTTTCTGTTGGCAGGATATATAAAAGGACACGAAAGAAGGAAGTTTTGCCCTTTTCCTGCTTGCCTCACACTCCATGGCAAGTTCATCTATCCTGCTGCTGAGGTATTCCTGCACTGGCATTAGAACCTACTTCTTTGGGAGACCAACAAAGACAAACCAATAGAGACACTTAGCCTTGTGGATTGAACAACTATCGTATTCTTGGCTTTTCCACTGGGAGACATCCATTGTTGAACTAGCGGGATCACAGAGTGCAAGCCACACTAATAAATGCCATAAGTATTCATTCTATCTGTCCTGTCCCTCTAGAGAACCCTGACTAATACACACACACAGTGAAACAATATAAGGGCACACAGACAGCTGTTAAGGTAATGTTTCTCAGATTTGCAGTCTCTACCTCCCGGTGCTCCCCACCTCTACCCCTTGAGAGCAGTTTCAGAACAGACTGTCCTTCCCAAGTCCTTATTTGAAGCCTGCATTACAGAGACTCCAAGACCATCTCCCACGTCCCATCCTGTCTCCTGCCCCAAACCTAGCCACCCTCTCCCAACCACTGGCTGTCCTGCTTCCCCACAGAAACTTGTTTAACTGTGTTTTGGCACTCCAGAAAGCCAATGCATTACAGACTCCATGTCCCTTTTTAAAACTCAAACACCATCCAAAGTATTAGAGGTAAAATGATTGAAGCTGCTTGGCCCTCAGGCGCTTCATGAAGGTGAACAGAAAGAATATATGAGACCTGAGTACCTTTTGTCTAAATAAATTATGTCACTAGAAACACGGTAAATGTTGTCTTAGTCTGTGTTGACTAAGACTAAGTGCTGCTCTTTAAAATGTCATAATTTGGTATGACTTAAGAACTAGGTGCAGCTTTATCCACAGTCTCGGCCAGGTCCTGGCAGGTGGCAGGTATCACATCTGAGCATCTCGCTCACTGGTCCAGGTGCAGGAACTGAGATGCCTCATAATGTTCTTTGGAGACTTTGGGTCACTGTCAGGATCTGGCAGTCTGTCTGATATTATAAACTTTAAAGATAACAATTTAAATGCCATATTCTGAAGATCTCTGAAGCATTAGAGGTCTGTTTGGTTACTTACTTTAAGCACACAAGAAGCATACAGGTGGCTAGGTAAGGTCTTATTTCTATAATTA